TGCTTTGATGCCGATTCCCTAGGCAAGGCTTTTTGTGCAGCTCAGGTTTTAATGGTTGACTTCATAGGTACTTCTGGGTCTCCAGAGACTTGGTGCACCTGGGTTGTGTAGAAACTCTGATCTGGGCCAGAGTTTTTTCATCAAACTGCACCCATGCAATTCTATATTCCCAACCAGTCTCCTCTGAGTGGTCCTTCACTGATTGGGTGCTGGTCAACTGTCCTTGCTATGCCCTAGTGTTCCCCCAGTGGGCCTGTCTCCCCCAATGCCCATTCTGCAAACACTTCCCATAGGACAGGCCATGTGCTGTTCCCTTGTGATGACTCACTGGCCTCTGAGTGGCTCCTTTTCTCAGTTGTGTGACTCCTCACTCCTATGTGGGTCCATGGGAACACTATCAGTGGTCTTGCTGGCCTGGGGGCCGCAAAGGCCCTCTTCTCCTCTGCTGCCTCCAAGCAACTTCATCTGGAGGGCACAGCTACGGCTTTTGCCAGCTCCTGCTCCATGTCCTCAGCAGCTCCAGCCTTAAAGTGGCCACAGCATGAAATGGTAGGAGCTGTTTTTTCTTTCTCTCATTATGGGTTCTCCCACCTTCATGCACTCCGTAGGTCTCTCCTCCTCTTCCCCTGAGCTCTAGTGGTCCCAGCTTGTCTGTTGTCACTTTCTTATAGTTGTAAATTGGTTGATTTGTGGGAGAGAGTGACGCTGGGGACTGTCTATTCTGATTTGTTGACCAGAAGCCTTCTTGATTTGTATTTGATAATTTCTATTGTTCCATTTGGGCATAGCTAATGATATGGTAGTTATGGAGCAATATCAGGATTGATATTAGCTCTATAAAATGTGTATATATGTATATGTTTGTGCATGTGTGTGTGTGTACATACACACATATATGATAATGACTAAGTCTTATCTCCTGGTTCCAATTTAAAGACACATAATAATTACTCATAGAATTAAAGTTATACAAACTTGTTCCTTTTATTTATTTACTATTTTACTATGAATATTCATGAGATACAAAGCTGATTGTCACCCCTCATGGCATGAGGTGAGAGCCAGATTCATACTGGCAGCACACCCATTACCAGAAATTGCTTTTGTACCCTGTGTCCCCATCCAATTATTCCCACCCTCTCACCCCTTCCCATTTACCCCCTCCCACTCCATTTTGTAGCCCAAGGAATGTTCTTTCCCTCTGCAAGACCAATGCACTACCGTGGTCTTTCTTTCCTTCCTTCTTTCTCTCTTAGCACTCACTTATGAGTGAGAACTTGTGATATTTATCCCTCTGTGCTTTGCTTATTTCACTCAATATAAGCTTCTCCAGGCTCATCCATGTTGTTGCAAATGGGAGTATTTCACTCTTTTTTTATGGCAGAGTAGTATTCCATGGTGTATATATACCACGTTTTCCTTATCTAATCAACTATTGATGGATATTTAGGTTAGATCTATGTCTTGGCTATTGTAAACAGAGCTGCAATAAACATGGGAGTGCAGGTGTCCCTTCAACATGATGATTTCCATTCCTCTGGGTATATATCCAGAAGTGTAATTGCTGGATCGTATGGAAGATCTATCTGTAGTTGTTTGAGAAAGCTCCATACTGTTTTCCATAGTGGTTGTACTAATTTACAGTCCCACCAACAGTGTAGGAGTGTGCCCTTCTCTCCACACCCTCACCAGCATTTGTTATGCACTATCTTTTCAATTATAGCTAATCTAACTGGGGTGAGGTGGTATCTCAATGTAGCTTTAATTTGCATTTCCCTGATGACTAATGATGTTGAGCATTTTTTCATGTACCTGTGGGCCATTTTTATGTCCTCCTTTGAAAAATGTCTATTTAGCTCCTTTACCCATATTTGTCCTTTGAAAAATGTCTATTTAGCTCCTTTACCCATATTTGAATTGGATTATTTGTTTTTTTACTGTACAGTTGCTTGAGTTCTATGTATATTCTGGATATTAATCCCTTGTCAAATGCATAGTTAGCAAAAATTTTCTAACACACTGTAGGTTGTCATTTCACTCTGTGGATTGTTTCCTTTACTATGCAGAAACTTTTTAGTTTGATATAGTCCCATTTGTTTATTTTTTTCTTTTGTTGCTGTGTTTTCGGGCTCATTTCCATAAAGCCTATGCCCAGACCTAGTTGCTGGAGTGTTTCACCTATATTTTCCCATAGTAATTTTACAGTTTCAGGTCTTATACTTAAGTCTTTAATCCATTTTGAGGTGATTTTAATGTATAGTTCAGTCTTGGTAGTTTATATGTGTCCAAAACTTATCTATATCTTCCAGATTTTCATATTTGTTGTTATACAGTTGTTTGTAATAGTCTCTAAGGATTCTTTGTATTTCTGTGGTATTGGTTGTAATGTCTCCCTTTTCATTTCTGATTTTTTTTATTTGGGTTTTCTTTTTTTTTTTTTTTTTTTTTTGTTAATCTGACTAACGGTTTATCTATTTTATTTATTTTCTCAAAAAACAACTTTTTGTTTTGTTGACCTTTGCTCTTGTTTTCTTGGTCTCTATTTCTTTTAGTTCTGCCCTGATCTTAATTATTTCTTCCCATCTACCACCTTTGGGCTTGGATTGTTGTGGTTTTTCAAGTTCTTTGAGGCATAGCATTAGGTCATTTATTTGAAATCTTTCTGTTCTTTTGATATAAGCATTTATTTCAATAAATTTGCCTCTTACTACTGCTTTTGCAGTATCCCACAGTTTTTGGTATGATGTATCTTTA